TTGTGCAAAAAAACACCAAAACTCGGTCATCGGCACGCGCCCAATTAAACCTGTTCGAAAACACAGTATCCATTGTTTGTTAGTGCAACATTATCGATAGAACAGACGATGTGAAATTATGCCTAACCTAAATGAAGAAATCAGTCTGCTTTTGCAACCACAACGAATAATGCCTATTGACGGTTAAAATTATCAAGCTAGAGAGAATTGCTTGTCGATGCAAATCACGAATTAGTTGCTAATTTCAGTGATACATTGCCGAAATGTCTCTGGAAACCAAGCAAGACGACTTCAAATAATGATTCATGAAGGCGCTATTAGCAAGCACCAATTACAAGGTAAGATGATGATGCAATTGCTTTTGAAAAACATACAGTTGGCAATAAACACAGCATACTACGAACAAACTGACCACCTATAGTAGAACGTTCAGATGACGTAGGTATGAGTATTTGCGAGCCAGGATGGCCAAAGCCAGAATTTGAGGGTTCTATTCCCAGGGCGGCCTGGAGACTGAAAGAGGCAGTACTAGTACTGCTACCCCAGTGAGCAGAACTGCCACTTCCACTGGAGGTCTGCTCTTGGTCCCCGTTTTCGTCATGTTGGAGCAACATCTCGTCTTGATCATAGTCATCCGGCTGTAGAAAAAAATGCTTGAAACATGATATCAACAGTGGCATTAAACTGATAATTTAAATGCAAAATCCAGCTTGTTAAAAATGGTAACTGATACGATTTGCTACAAAATGTATTGATACGGCAAAGGTAGGGTTTACTAACTAATTTCCGAACCAAAAGACATCGACCAAGGTTAATTTAACTTATTTGCCTCAATAACCCGATTCATGAGGTGAAATTATTAGGCTGCGCGTTCCAAACAAAATAAAGCAGACAATTTCAGCATCAAAACTTACAATATTTAGATAGGCACCGATTGATGTTGCGAGATTATTGAAGGGACAAACCCCCAGTTGAGCGAAGAGGCTGATCATATTTTGTGGCTGCAAGGCACGTTCGTAGGCGTGTGTCAGTATTGGTGCCACATTCAATTTTGATAGTGCCTGATTCGGAGACCTTTGAAAAAAGCGTTCTAACCGCTTTTCGAAGTACATCTAAAAAATACCAATTGACTGGCACTATACCAATAATCTTCATAAGTCCGGGCACAATAGCAGGCAGTTTAAACTAGGAAAAATACCAACATTGTTACATAAAGTTTCGTTAAAATAAAGCAAAAAACTGAATGGTACAGATAAATATAAAAGGTCCGTCTTTTGGGTAAATATACTTGAAGGTGCATCATAACTTTCTAAGCATATTTCCAGTGGTAGAGGTTTCGTGAAGCTAGGGAATCAGAATGACAAAACTTCCAATAAGACGAACGCAACCTTGCCCTTCCAAATAAACAAAGGGCTATGCAAAACAGATTTGGCGATTTCTACGCGTGTCGATTACTGGCCCATCCCAATGCGACAAACAGAGGTCCACAGGGAGTTCCTAGTGTCAGCTTTCAGTGTTACGCCTAGATCAGTGATATAAAATTAACAAATTCCATTAAGTGGTAACTTGTCTCACATCTAATGCTTGGTCAGTTACCCTGGTGTTTATGGAGTAACAATGGAAAGGTACCCCCAATAAATTGCTGTCTAACTGAACATGTGACTTTCAAATACTTCATGAGTCTGTAAAAATTGGAGTTGTCAAGCCCATGAGGAACAGTTTCTAAAAAAAACTGTGCAATATCATTAAAAAATGGTCACGATCCTACGATGAAGGCCCCAATGTTAGGGTTAGACTGTTTGAAGAAAAAACGGATGATAACTGTGATGGAGAGATTGACTGTACAGGGTTTCAGATAACCGTGGACATTTTCGAGGACAGCTGCATAAAATTCAAACAAGGAATACAGCAGAACGAATGTGGAATAACAGTAGATAAGCGTGTGGTCACTAAATTAAAAGTGACAAAGGGACCATTGCGATGTTTTATACGATACTTACACTGTACACGAGAGAATAAACAGTCAGCAAACTGACGTGTTGACATTTTGCATTACACAACGTAAGAGCGCATCGAAGTGCATCAAGTGGTTGCATTATAATACTCCTCCCACTAGTTTTTATCTTTAGTTAAATATGCTAAGAGCAGGCTATTTCATTCACCTGGAATGCAAGGAAACAAGTGTTCTCAACACAGTGATTGTAAGCAGGATGCGGGGGCAAGGGAAAGAGAAGGACGCCGTCCTCTCGAGCACGTTCCAGAACGCGAACGCTAACGAACTGAAGGTGGCCATCGTAGAGCAACACGAGTGGCCGTTTGGAAATTTGTGGACGAAAGTGTTTCAAGAACCACTGAATAAATGCGTCTGAATTGACCCATCCGGAAGGGGAGTTGGCAAACTTGGTTCCACGCACAGCACCCTCCATCATACAATCTAAAGGGGAAAATAGTAGTAACGTTATTGCTCAGCACGACACAGAAGCCCTGCCAACAAATCAAGTGCAGATGGTTAAAACAGCTGTTATATTAACTAGTCGAAAATATAACAAGCATTAGTTTACCCCTAGGCTTTGGCCAAATTAGCTTATTGAATTCAATATGGAGCCTAGGAAAATTAATAGATAGTGATGCAACCGATTTTGGACAGCAAAACACTAAAGGATATCCTCAACAACAAATCAGGCATGATAATTAAATTAAAAAATACATAAAGGGAAATTTAGAGTAAGACAAAAGCGAGAGGTAAATTTAGTTAACATGGCGTCATAACGAAGTCAGCAAAAGAATTACCATGTTCAACTAGGATGGTTTCACGAAAATTGAAAAGAAAAGCAAAACACATGAGTGATCAATAGGGTCATGCAGATATTCGCAGTTGTGATTGGTAGATGCGTTGCAATATTTTAACCAAGACAGCAAG